TGTTCTTGAGACTTAGTTGTTTATGAAATGACAGCTTAAGTGTAATTGTTCCCTGAGGAACAGTGTCACGTCACAAATATAGTTGAAACCAATTAAAGCCAGTTCAGAAAAGCATTTGGTCTTTACCAACGAAGAACATAATTACGGGATCTTATACATTATGCAGTGAAACCTCTATGTTGGTTTACCGTCTTTGAAAAGTTTCCTGTTTACAATTGTAACACTTGTAATATGATAATATATTTGCAATGTAATAATTCACATCTGGAAAAATATCATCCATCTTGGAAATAACACTTTCACCTTTTATTCAAATCTAGGCACAAATGAATTTATTAATAAAAATGAAAGTTAAAATATATTACATTCTCAGAATACAGTTATCAAAAACCAGATCCTGACTTTGGTTAAGGAAAGAGTTTATTTGAAAGTATTACAAAAAAGTATTACAAGAGCAGGGAGGGGGCCTTGTAATAGGGAGAAGATCTGCGCCTCATGAGATCAGTCAGACAGCCAAGGCTTTGCTTTATGAGGAGAGGGCATGAGGCCAGCAAGGTGGGGGAAGTGGGAGGAGTGGGTGGAAGTGGCATGAAGGGACAGTAGATCAGAAAACGTTCACCCTGAGGCTGGCGCCTGAAGTGGAGGGGTCTCTCTCGGGGGTTGTATGCTGGCCCAGGTTGCTGGTGGGTCACATTCAGGGTCCTGAAGAAAGAGAGAACTTCCCTGAAGTTTGATCAGGTCAGGTTAGTGGACATTTTCTGATTTATCAGTGGGGACAACAGGTCAGCTAATCTTGTGTGGGGCAAAGAATGTGCATTTAGAGGGTCTGTGTCTGGCCTTGTCGCAGGTGAACAGCGGGTCATCCACAGATCTTATCTAAATCATGTGCGGAGGAGTAGTTCTTAGCAATGAGCCATTCCCAGGAATGGAAAAGGGCCTGGGCTTGTCCTCATCATACTGTTTTTCAGGAGCACAGGGTCGGGTTAAATTCAGCATCCTTCCAGTGCTCAGCACTTACCTGATGCGCCTTAATCTTCATGATAACCCTTCAGCGTGAGGACTCTCACAAGCCGTGACTTGGCTTCCTGAGGACCGGGAAGGCTAAGGAACTGCCAAGGTCACGCTGCCAGTAAGGGGCGCCGTGCTGCTTCGGAAGGCTGTGGCCTGGGAGCACCAGTGGGCGGTCCTAGTACTCAGAGCAAGTGAGACAGCCATGCTGCCTGACTTGTGTATCGTCATGTTGTCTGAAGAATCCGTGTCACTCAGGCCTTTTCTTGTTGCAAGTAGCAACCTGGGCTAGCTTAAGATTTGTTTTGTTTTGTTTTGTTTTTTGAAGTATGTGGGGTACCTTACAGAATTCATGGAGACATTGAACTTGTAATCTGCAAGAAGGCCTGAAGCAAGGACTTAAAGCCTAAGAAAGAGAGAGGAACCAGAGTCAGTGACTCCTCTCCCTAGCGGTGTTTCTCAACAGGGACACAAAATGACATTGTACACAGGACACTTCTTCGTTGTGAAGGGCAGTCCCACCATTTCCGATGTGTAATATTCTTGGCCTTTGCCCACTAAATGCCAGTAGTGACCTACATCATTGTGACAACCAAACAGACGTGCTAAGTATTTCCAGATTCCCTGGGAGGTGATGCAATCAGCGGTTGAGAACCCGACCAAGCAGCCGAGCGCAGTGCCATTGTTGTGACTCAGCATTAAGGACATGAGTGTCCACACTCTTAGTTATAAACCTCAGACTCCATGACTTGCAGTCAGAGGCCAACTCCATGACCCGCCTGGGTGGCCTGGGCACAGTCCTGCCGTTTCAGTGTGCTGGCTCCCTTGGTAGCCTCGTGGATGGAGGGGAGTCAGTTTTCAGTAATCAGTGGATATTGTTCATATAGATTTATGTATGTCCATAATAGTTGAATTCATCAATTTATTACTTACTAATTTGGCCTGGAGTATGCACAGTCTGTTGGTTGCTCTCTTAGGTGATTTTTTTATACCTTTCTGTATTTAATTCATATTTACTGTTCATCAGTCAGTGGGTTGTATAATCCCTGTGTTGTAGATGAAGTCTGGGACTCATGAGGCTGACTTGACATAGAACATGTAACTCCTGCACAATATGTGCTTGAACAGAGAAGGGAGTGAAAGTGTTTCTGACTGTCAAAACACTCATTTATGTCCTTTTTGTGAGTGAAAGACTAACAGAAGTTAAATGGAGAAAGAAATCCTAAAGGCATATAAAATCATAAAAATACTTTTCCTTCTTATGTAGAGTTCTACAAGTGACCTTGAATAAATCATATCATTCTGTGGACTTCAGTTTCCTCAGTATAAAATTAGATGTTTGGACTGGATGATTTCTAAGGTGTCTTAGTTTTTGTTAATGGGGAAATATAAGATGTGATGTAAATATGGCTGCTTGCCCACAAATTTAGTCTCATGCCATCTTTGAAACCTTCCAAAATGAATATAAATGAAGGAAAAAGGCACAGATACTCAAAGACAAGAATGGAAGGGTGAAGCAATAATAGGCCAATGATGGGAGTGAAGTTTTGGTGGCTGCAAAATAGATGGACAAATGGTAATGACTTAGGCGTCAAGAGAAAGCAGAATTCAGGCTTACAGGGCAAGAGAAAGTGTCCCAGAAACATGGGCGTTAGTACGGAAATAGCTCGAGGAGGCTCAGGAATCATGGACACTAGTTATTGAGAAGGTGGATTGGTGGGCAGAACTGAAGAAGAGGAGACTTGGTTCAAAGTTTGTGTGAGAAGTGGTTAGACCATTGGATGCTCTGCCTGGCTGATAAAACCAGGCATCTGCCTTCTTAACCTATAGCAGGCTAGAGATTTCCTGGAGGGATTGAATAAAGAAGCCTTGGGCTCTCAGACCCAGATAGATACAACTGAGGGCTAGAGATGCCACACTGAAAATGAGGGTATTTATTTCCCTTATATATAAAGGTGTGCACCTACTAGTGGGAATCCCAGCATTCCAGCAGCCAAGCTGATACCTCCTCCTGGGAGATTGGGGAATTCCTATTCAGGGTAATGCTTACCTAGGCCAAGAGAAGAGAAACACAGATACTGATATTTGAGTAACGTTTGATGAAAAAACTAGCCTACCATCTTAAAGTGAATTGTCAAGTCCAGTTGTCAAATCCTGTGGATGAAAGCAGGACTTCAGGTAGTGTTTTGGAACCTCAGCCTTACATTTTTAAGAATAGGCAGCAGAGGATTACTGGTCACTTGAGGAAAGCCCATAATGTACAAAGAGACCAGTTCACAAAATGTGAATCTGTTGGAAGAAGCAGATACTATAAGCTCCAAGTCGGGGTGGGGGTGGGGGGCACTGCCATTCATATCCTCAGAAATATAAGAATTTATATCACTTCCATAAAATATTTTTAAAATGCTATAAAAAAAGAACAAATATAAGAAAATACTATTAATAGTTAAACATTTGATAGCAGAAATGAAAAAAATCAATAGATATGTAGGAAATGTACTTAAATTCCCCAGACAGTAAAACAGAGAAGGTGAAAGGGAAAGAGGAAAAATAAGAGAGAAATTTAGAGTTCCAACTCAGGAGATCCTAATAGCCAAATAATAGAATTTCCAGAAAGAAAAAGCAGAGAAAATGGGGAACCAAGAATAAGGTAGAGATGAGTGGATGGAGACACTGATTTTTTTTTTTCTATGTTGTATTATTTGATATTTTTAACTCTATATGTATCATTTCTATATTTTTAGAGAGTAATCGACTTAAAATTAAATTTAAAAAACAAAACATACTTACATGTGAAGGTTAAAAATACTGTAGATATTTGAGTTTTCATTGAAGACCAATAAAATTAAAAGTAGGCCAGGAAAAAATATCATTTTGATTTTTTAGAAGTATATATTTTAAGAAAATTACTTCAATTACCATAGAGAAATTGAAGAACCGTTTTCTCTTAAAAACAGCAACAGCACAGCAGTGGCACAGATCGTGGAGGAGCTGATGCCAAAACAGCGGCTGCATGAGTTTGTAATCAGAAGTCTTGCCAAAGAGAACAGTTTCCCTCCGGTCAATAGGGCTGACTTTCTGGGAACAAGAAGTATTCATGACTTACCTTAATTATGGGAAAGCTTTTAAAAGTTGTGTGAAATTCCTAATTACAGTCCTTTCATTCAAGATATATTTATTGTCTTTTCTATGCTAAGCATTGTTCTGATTCATTTATATGGACCCATTTAATCTTCCTAACAGCCTTACGGGAGTAGGTTCTGTTGTATTTCACTGTTCTCATTTTACAGACGAGGAACCCACGGTACAGAGAGGTCAGGTGACCCAGTTAACTAGCTGGGTTACTCAGCTGGTAAATGGAAAAGCCGGGTTTTAAAACCATGGCAATGTAGCCTCAGAGTCCATATCATTAATGAATTCACTTCTGCTGTGCTTATTAAATTAAGAACCCTAAGAATCAAGACTCATTAATTTGTCAACATTTTCATAGCTAGTTATTTTAGAAGAGATAGATGGACTTTGTCATAAAGCTTTGTGAGCCACCAAATGCTTGAGAACTCATCTAGGCCAGCGCAATCCCTGGTTGACGAACCAGGGCTCAAGTGCTGAGGTTAGGTGGAAGGACCCAGACACTCCATAGTGACCAGCCTGGAGCACCTTACATCTTCCCCACCTACATCCTCATCTTACTAGCACTGTGCATGGTTGAAGTCAAATGTGCGTTAAAATTGTCAGGATAGCAACCTAGGATTTCTGGGAATTAGCTTAATTTATAATTTGTGAAATCTAACCATCATTGAAATGATTGGTTTTTACTTTACGACTTTTAAGCCCCATTATATGTGGTTTGTGGAGAGGCATATAGCAGGAACTTAAATATTTGGCATTAATTAGTGATTTGTAGCATACTGTAGTGTTTACTGACATTCAAGATTAATAAATTACTTTCAGATATGAATGTTACAATTTTGGTTTGTTTGTTTTTTCCCTAGTTCAACTTTGTGGGGAAACTTTTGGGTCCCCGTGGCAATTCTCTGAAGCGTTTACAAGAAGAAACCTTGACCAAAATGTCCATCCTTGGGAAAGGTTCCATGCGAGACAAGGCAAAGGTAACATTCATCATAGACAATGGCTACTTTGGAGACAAGTTGCATAATGTACTTTTAGATTATCCATTGTATTAATACAAATTATATTAGAGCTAGCTAGGATTGCAAATGAAATTATATGAAAATGTTGTATAAGGCGATGAGTCTGTGGTACTGTGTAGAAAACTGAGTCTCTTGGACCAGTTTCAGAATATATGGTGTCCTCCGTGTACATCTGTAACTATTACCTTCATTTGTAAAATGCAATAGCAGTGCCTGTGGTTTCGACTGTAGAAGCAATTCCTCGTAGAAAGTACAGTGATACTGAAATTACCACGAAGAGAAAAGTTATCTGCAGTCTTAACTGCCGCTGTTTGCATCTTCGAGGAGTTCCTGGGGGCCTTTTTTCTATGCCTGTATTTGAAATAGTTGAGTTTATAAAGTATACACTTGGATCTGCTCTTTTTGCCCTTCATTTAATACCCTGTACATTTTATCAAGTTAAAATTGATTTTAAATGTTTTACTAGTGGCTTCGTATTCTCACACACAGTAGCTCTACTTGGCTCTAGTCCTTCTAACTGCCTCTTTTTTTTTTTTTTTTTTCTGTGATAAGCTAAAATTACTGAGTTTTTTATTGATCACTTTCTTAAATACACCACTTCTGAAAGAAGTTTTCACGTTTCATAGTGTGCTGTCATCACTTTCATTATTCTCCATTACCGTTTTGTTGCTCTGTCACTGTGAAGAGATTGATGTCACTGAAAACCAAACCCACATTCCGTGGCCACTTTCCATGAAATGTTGAACAATGATTGTGTCAGACAAGAAAGTTATTTAGACAAAATGCAGCCTCTTCGCACACACAAAAAAGTCCATCTAAACAAAGGCTTTTATAATAAAAAATGGCTGCCATTTGTTTATCGAACAGCTACTGTGAGTGCATTACTCTGTGTTATCCCTAGAAAAATGATGGAAGAAACATAACATTCTCCTTACTTTACATGTAAAAAAACTGAGATTTAGAGAACCTGAGTATATTATCTGTGTTAATCAGGGAAGTTAAATTATTTGATTAAAACAGGGCTGTTATCATACTCACATGGAGTGCTGTTTAAAAATAAGATTCCCAGGGCGCCTGGGTGGCTCAGTTGGTTAAGCGACTGCCTTCGGCTCAGGTCATGATCCTGGAGTCCCGGGATCGAGTCCCGCATCGGGCTCCCTGCTCGGCGGGGAGTCTGCTTCTCCCTCTGACCCTCCCCACTCTCATGTGCTCTCTCTCATTCTCTCTCTCTCAAATAAATAAACAAAATTATAAAAAAAAAAAAAATAAGATTCCCATACAACCTTTTTAGGGTAGAACCTCAAAATGAATTTTCAGTGGTTATTTGAAATGATTCTAGTGTGTGGCCAGGTTAGGTTAACTATTCACTAAGCCTTCCTGTCTCAAATGATGTTACTTTGATTCCCTGACTCATCTGTTCTGGCAGCTGGAGGAGATGGAACCATATATTGGTCAGTTGGTCAGAAATTTTGTATAACTTGTAGGAAACTAACCCATCCTTGCTGATACCTTAATTAGGTCTTCAATAAAGCCGTCTGGTCATGAAGTACATGAAATGACCAGTGAAATTCATCAACATACTGCTTATTTTGTTTGTTGTTAAGGGAGGTTTTTTTGTTTTGTTTTGTTTTGTTTTTTGTCAGAAGCGACATTTTGTGGCATACGATGGCAGTGATGAGGGCATCCACAGATAGTTTCACAGGTACAAAGGAAGGAGGGAAGGCAAGTCTTTAGCTGGATTATATGTCCAAGTAATAACAAGTGCCTGGCTATCCATTTAATGAAAAGGATTCTAAGTATGGTCACTTTGCTATCAGGGCTTGGTGGTTTTTCTAGATTATGTTGTCATTTTAAGGGCTATCTCTGCTGTTGGCATATTGGGCATTCAGCAGTGCAGTAGCTAAGAATCCTTTTTGAGGGGAGTCTGTGTTGTGAAGTAATATGTAACCTCTCTCTCTGTTGCCACAGACACTTTGTTCAAGTCCCTTGAGTAGCACTGAGGTGGCTGGGCAAGGAGGTGCTTTGACATCTACTAAAATGAGTCCCTTTGTCCTCCCCGGTCGCTGAGTGCTTGCTCTGCATTGCATGGGGCACCCTGTTCTCTTACACACTCAGTGGGTCTAGGCTGCTTTCCGAGACTACTTTCCAGCCCTTCACTAATCCTCTCATTTCTATGTCCTTGACCACATGGGTCTGAGAATCATTATAGAGATTCTGTAAGTGGCTGATCATTTCCATTCCATCAAGACACCCAGGAACTGGGGAAGTAGCATACATTTGGGGTTTACAGTCCATTGAGCTGCTATCAAGGGACAGGATCAGAAGTCCTTTATTCTCTTGACCCTGTAGATCCCACTGTCATCAGTGGCCCTCAGTGGAGAAGCATTTGCTGAGAGTCAAGTTTGTTAATCCTCAGGCTTTCTGGGTATTTATCTTATCAGTGCATAGTTGCTTTAGGAAAAGGCCCCAGATCCTTGGTGGGAAGACAAGGAGGACGTGTCACATGTACACAAGGAGGTATTAACAGTTATTATTAGCTTTCTTATTCTCTGCGTCCCTGGGGCAAACAAGGATCTGATCCTGGGCCAGGAGGTCATACCAAGAAACAGTAATAAAGCGTGAAACCTGGGTCGCTCAGTCAGTTAAGTAAGTGTCTACCTTCCGCTCAGGTCATAGTCCCAGGGTTCTGAACTCGAGCCCAGTGTCAGGCCCCCTGTTCTGTGGGGAGCCTGCTTCTCTGTCTCCCTCTGCCCCTCCCCCCGACTTGTGTGCACACTCTCTCTCTCGCTGTCTCTGTCTCTCCTCTTGCTCTCTCTCTCAAATAAATAAAATCTTAAAAAAAAAAAAATAAAGCCAGAGAATTTTCATCTCCTTTCAAGGAACTACCTTGGCTATTCAAAACAAGGTAGGAAAAGTTTCACCAGACAGGCTTCTGCCTGTGTGGAAGGCTCAGTGGGGCTTCAACATTTGAATACTAAGGGTTGTTTGAATCCTCCCAAATGTTGCCAATCCAGTTCTCAGATCTTCACTGTTCTCCAGACATTTTCCTAAACCTCACAGAAGAGGTGGCTGGGCAGTCTACTGTCCTTCAGCAGCACACAGGCTTCAACTCTGCTTCTGCCTGTTGGCTCCATAAGCCTGTGGCCATAAGCAGTACACCTCCTAGCCTACTTCTGGCTCTTTGAGACTTGAACTCGTAATGTCAAGTCTTGAGTCTGTCATTTTCCTTTTAGAACTCTTCGGTACAGTTTGATCCCACTCCCCCTGCCTTGTTTTCCTCTTGTGCATCATACTGTGGCCGGCCTCTGCCACACGTGGCCATCAGTCTTCAGAAGCATGTCAGTTGGTGTCACCACAGGTGATAATTCAAGTACCAGGTTTGCTATAGAAGGGGAGACCACTGGTACCCTGTCCTGTGCTGCAGTCAGGTCCTCACTGCCTGGACTCTTGAATGCTGATCTCTGTTGATCCTTTTAGTCTGCAGAAGTTCTCAGTTAATAATGTTTATTGCTAAAGAGATTTCCATTACTATTAAAATCTCATCTTTTAGCTTTTCATAGTGTTCACTATCTAAATTCTAATGAGACCATAATTCATTTTATTCTTGTATTTTCTTTTTTTTTTAAAGATTTTATTCATTTATTTGACAGACAGAGACACAGCGAGAGAGGGAACACAGCAGGGGGGAGTGGGAGAGGGAGAAGCAGGCTTCCCGTGGAGCAGGGAGCCCGATGTGGGGGGCTCGATCCCAGGACCCCGGGATCATGACCTGAGCCGAAGGCAGACGCTTAACGACTGAGCCACCCAGGCACCCCTCTTGTATTTTCTACATTGACGAAATTACGGGAGTCATTACTGACTTGTATCAGTTGGTTATGTAGCATAATAATCACCGTAATGCTATGGTCTTTCGAGCCTTCAGTTTGTGCCAAGCATGCTGGCTGTTTTGCCCTTATCGTCTATATATAGAATAATAGAATAATTAATACTGTAGTCATCATTTATTGAGTGTTTATTATGTACTAAGCACAGTTCTAAAGATTTTTTGTGTCTTTAAACATGAAACTCTTTTTTTTTTACTACAACTCCTTTATATTACTAATAACTCCTAATCACTGTTCTGGTAACTCCTTTATTACTACTCATTGAGCAGTAGATACTCTACTGTTACTCTGCACTTAAAATCACCTCTTCAAGATGATAAAGTAACCTGTCGAAAATTATACAGTACATGTTGAATTTGGGATTTGAACGCAGAACTCCAAGCGAAGTCTGTGTTCTTCCCCAAACACCATGTTGCCTGTCCCTGCTAACCCAGGACAGAAGCTGATAAAGCTCCTCGCTCTGTGGGGATGAGTGACAGCAGGCTGGGCTAAGAAAGCCTCTCTCCCCGTTTCCATCCGGGGTAGCAACGGCAGAGTGCTGCACTGTGCGTCACAGTTACTCTCATTAATATCCGTAGTGTGATGCTGTATTCTAATAGGGAAGCAGTGTTGAGGTCAGTAGTTTATACTTTCAGAAGTGAACTGTTGAACATAAAATTCGACTTTATGAAGTTTAAAACTTCAGCTCTGAAAGGCAGAGTATCAGATCAAGTGATGGAGAGTGTTCTGATTAGAACAAATAGTCTACAGTTGGCCTAAAAGAATCGTGCTTTTTATACGGGACCAACTTTGAAGGAAATGCAGAGGATATTATGGTAGCTTATATTTGCTCTCCTTGCTTCAAATATTTCTCCTTCTTTTCCTTCGGTTTCTGACCTTCTTTCCGTAAATGCGAAGAAAACTGGCACTTATCGAGTCCTGGCACATGTAAAGCAGTGTGCTGGGCAGTATGTACGTGATCTCCTTTGCCAGGCATTTACGGAAAGTTGGTCCTTTTACTCTTCTCAACAGTCCTGTATTAATATACTTAACACCAACTTGATTTTTCAACTTAAGAGTTCATCTATCTAAACAGACACACCTGGTGTCTGGCATGGCTATGATTTGGGTATATCTGACTCAAAACCCCACGTCCTGTCATGCTCTATATGCAGATCTCTTTGTTCTCTAAAAGAAATCAAATGAGTGAAGTAACACAAGTTGACGTCTTAAACGATGAAGTCAGGGGTGCTTGGGCCTCTCTGACCTCTTGGCCTGTGGTGGAATTAAAAGGTGGTGTTGCCAGGAGTTCTAGGGTTCTCCTTCTCATGGGGTTGGTGTTTTAGAGAGGCTAGGAAGGTTTCCCCCCATTTTGGAAATCACTCTAGGTGTAGGTACCTGCTCTTCTTAATCTGTCTGATTTGAATGTTGGAAACAAAGACTTTTAGAAGATCCAGGTTCTGTCATTTGCCACTATAATGAATGCTAGTTAGGAGAAGATCATGGACCAAAATCATTTGTCTCTTGCTGACTGATCTAGGTTTTTCCCCCTCCTCTTTTTTCCCCCCTGTATTTCATTATGTAGACAAAAAAACTTTAATGTGTATCATAATTATGTAAAATCATGTAATAAAATCGTTCGTTTATTCTATTCACTGTTTTATCTTCAGATACAGTGCCTGGCATGTAGAAATGTTTTTTGAATGAATATATGAATGAGTGAATGAACATGGAAATGAGTAAATAATATTTACCTACTCGTCCAAATGTATTTGTCGGGTGTCAGCTATATTCCAAGCACTTTTCTAGACAAGGCAGATGAGCACCAGAGAAGACCATCATGGTCTTGTTCTGTTGCCGTCACCTCCAGTGAGGAAAATTAGATAATAGTCAAGTAAACAATAGGTATTTTAGGTAATTTGGCGGTGGAAATGCTTTGTGGCAGCATCACAGATACTTGGCGTAACCCATGTAGAGGGAGCTGGGGAGATCAGCCGGTCTGACCAGGGGTCTGAGCAGCACCTGGAGGGCGTCGGGCTGGGGGGACAGGAGGAGACAAAGCAACCAGAGCACACAGTGTGGCAGAGGGTCTCCCCCTAGGCCAGAGGCAGGGGTTGAGACTTATTCCAGTAGCAGCATGAAGCCTTGAGTGTTTTCATAGAAGGTGGGAATGGCAGGATCAGATGTGTATCTTAATCCTTCATCCTTAGGGCGGTGCTTGCCATTGAGTGAACCTTCTATGACAGCTGCATGCCGGATCAGCTCTGTGTAGCGTTCCTGTTCCTTTTCTTATAAAGATGCCCTTTTAAGCATGGTTTTTCTTTCTTCAGGAAGAAGAGTTGAGGAAAAGTGGAGAAGCCAAGTACTTTCACCTCAACGATGACCTGCATGTTCTCATTGAAGTCTTCGCTCCACCAGCAGAAGCATATGCCCGGATGGGACACGCACTGGAAGAAATCAAAAAGTTCCTCATTCCTGTTAGTACAATTTTCCTTGATAGTTAATTTGCACTTCAAAGTCCTTCTTTTATTTTAATCCATGGTAATTTTTAGCAGTAAGTATTATTTGCACAGCACTTTGTTAAAAGTGTCCCTGTGAATTGGCATTTTTCTTTCTTTATAAATGAGGCAAGGGATTTTTAAAGAGATCAGATAGGACTGGTAAGGCTAGCCGGCCAAGAAAGTTGAAGAGCATAATCACTAGTTCAAGTTTTGGGACTCACAAGTCCTAAGCCTTTTTGTGACACTAAAATCACCTACAGATCCATTGTTCTCCAGTATAAACCCATCAGTGCCTTCCATGCAGCAAGCACTGTGGGTGGTGTTGGACCAGCAGCCATAAATAAAAGCAGTCCCTACCCTCGAGGACTATGTGGTGTAGGGGAAGGGAGAAGCATAAGCCAATGATTTCAGTATAGCATGGTAAATATAATGACAGACCTAAGCATAAGGAGCACAGAGAAGAAAGGCACTGTGCTGATAGTTACCTGGCTTCTGCCAGGTGTTTTATGCTTTGGCTTTTTGTTTGTTTGTTTTTTGGGTTTTTTTTTTAAGATTTTTATTTATTTATTTGAGAGAGAGAGAGAGATCACAGTGGGAGAGGGAGAAGCAGGCTCCCTGCTGAGCAGAGAGCTGATGCGGGACTCGATCCCAGGACCCTGGGATCACGACCTGAGCCGAAGGCAGATGCTGCACCGACTGAGCCACCCAGGCGCCTCTTATGCTTTGTTAATGTAACAATTGCTATTCTGTTTTAACCCTTCCCAGATACTTGGACATTGCTAAGAATGTGGTAATTTAAATAGAATGTGTCCGTACCTCCATTATGAAAGTTAATTTAGGTTTTTTATATAATTTACATGTACTAGATTTAAAAAAAAACTGAAACATTGAACACTTTGGCTCTTTAGACAATTTATTTAGAGAAGCTGTCATATCTGCCAGACAGCTGCCTGAGGTAAGACTGTCTTCAGCAATCCCAGGTTGGTCTAGTAGATTGACTTACCTACCACAGCGTATGTGTCATGACTATATTAGCTGTGAGGAAAACTGTTGAATTTATAGGGAAGGGATATCTTAAGTCATGATTGCCTTGGAAAAGCTGAGACATGGGATTGTATTAAGTCATTTTACTTGGGAGCTGAAAATGGTTCAACTTCCTTAATTCCCTCATGATGATCCCAATATGATGCCAATATGATGATCCATTTATTCACTTATTTTTTTGTTTTGTTTTGGTTTTTAGAGAGGAGGGAGAGAGAGGTGGGGGGCCAGAGGGAGAAGGAGGTAATCTTAAGCAGGCTCCACACTCAGTGCAGAGCCTGATGCGGGGCTTGATCTCACAACGCTGAGATCATGACCTGAGCCGAAATCAAGAGTCAGAAGCTTAACCAACTCTGCCACCCAGGTGCCCCTACTCATTTAGTTTAGAAACAAAGTTTTTTAGTACTTTCTATGTGATAGATACATGGGAACTAACAAAAGACATTCTTTCATCTGACCCTGTGGAGTTTATATAATGGAAGAGACAGATAAGAATCAGATATTAGATATTCATACAAACAGTTATAAAATTGTTACTCCGACAAGACTAAGGAGAGGTTTAATGTCTTAGTGGTCATTCAGGGTGGACTGGGGAGTGCTGACCTAGCCACGTAGGCTGCCACAGGACCTCCCACCCCATCCCCTTTACACTCCTCCACCAGGACATGGATCTGACTTCTGTCCCCTTGAGTCTGGGCTGACCAGGAGAACTCTTTGCTGAACCGAGGGTCACAAAGATTTTTTGCTGTTTTCTTAATTTCTTATAGTATTAGCTCTGTCATTTTAAGTCTATGATCAATTTTACGTTAATTTTTGTGTATGGTATGAAGTTAGGATCTAGGTTTATCTTTTCCTATGTAGATATCCAGCCCGTTGTCCCAGCACCGTATGTTGAAAGGGTAATCCTTTTCTTATTGAACTGCAACACCATTGTTGAAAATCCACTGAACGTAAATGTATGGATTTGTTTCTGCATTCTCGGTTCTGTTCCATTGATTTATATGCCTGTCCTTATGCCAGTGTCATGCTCTTAATTACCTTAGCGTTCTAGCAATTTGGTGTGAAATCCAGGTTGTTGATTCTTTTTTAAAGAAAAAGTTCTGTTTCAAAATTGTTTTGGCTATTCTGGTTCCTATGCATTTCTACATATATTTCAGATTAGCTTGTCAGTTTCTACAAAAGAGCCTCCAAGGGTTTTGACAGAGGATTGAATCTGTAGCTCAGTTTGGGGATAATTTCCGTCTTAATAATCCTTAGTTTTCTAGTCCATGACTACGAAGTGTCTCTACTTAACAGATATTTTTTTGTTTCTTTCAGCAGTTATATAGTCTTCAGGGTGCCAGTCTTAGACTTCTTTTGTTTAATTTATTTCTAAGTATTGTACACTTTCTGATGCTATTGTGAATGGAACTTTTAAAATTTCATTTTCAGGGTGCCTGGGTGGCTCAGTTGGTTGAGCATCTGACTCTTGGTTTTGGCTCAGGTCATGATAATCAGGGTCCTGGGATCGAGCCCCGCACTGGGCTCCGTGCTCATTGGGGAGTCTGCTTGAGATTCTCTCTCCCTCTCCCTCTGCCCTTCCCGTTCATGCTCTCTTTATCTCTCTCTCTCAGATAAATAAATAAATCTTTAAAAAATTTTTCATTTTCAGATGGTTACCAGGATATTGAAATGCAGATGATTTTTATACACTGACCTTGTATCTTGTGACCGTGTTGGACCATTATTTCTAGTGTGTTGTTTTGGTTTTTATGGAATCATTAGGATTTTCTACATATAGAATTATGTTATCTGTGAATAAAGTATGTTTTATTTCTTCCTTTCAAATTTTAATGTCTTTATTTTTTTTATTTTATTTTCCCTTATCACACTGACTGGAACTTCGAATGCATTGTTGAGCAGGAGTGGTGAAGATGGAATATCTTTGCTTGTTGCTTTTCATCTTTCACCATTAAGTATGATGTCAGCTGTAAGGTTTTCCTTGCTGCCCTTGACCTTGTGGAAGAAGTTCTCTTCTGTTCCTGGGTGTTGAGAGTTTTATCATGAATGAGTATTGGATTTTGCCAGGTTTCTTTTTCTGCCCATTGAAATGCTCATGTGATTTATCTCCTTTTTTTTGTGAATAATAGTATATTGCATTAGTTGATTTTCAGATGTTAAGCCAGCCTTGCATTCCTAGGTGAAATCCCACTTCGTCATATTACATTTTGCTACACTTGATTTACTAGTAGTTTGTTGAGAATCCCTACATCTATAATCATGAGGGATGTTGGCTTGTAGTACAGTATTTCTATAATCTTTGCATTAACCCTTTACATTTACCGTTTCTGGTGCCCTTCATTTCTTTCTGTGGATAGAATTGCCACATGGTGCCACCTCTTTTCAGCCCAAAGGACTTGCTTTAGTCTTTCTTATAACCTTGATCTGCTAGCCCCAAAAATTGTTTTGTTTTTTTTTTTTTTTTCCAGAATGTCTTTATTTCCCCTATATTCTAAAAGATAGTTTATGTAATTCCTGGCTGACAGTTTTTTGTTTCAGGTGGTAGAAAGAAGGCCAGTCTGCTGCTTTCTGGCCTTCATTATTTTTGATGAGAGGAGTCCTTAAGGATTTTGTTGTTTTGTGCATGATCTGTTGCTTTTCTCTTGCTGCTGCCACGATTTTGTCTTTCTTTTTCATTAATTTGACTGTGATTGTGTATGCTTATCCTCCTTACTCATTAAGCTTTGTGGATCCATATGTATACATTTTTCTTCAAATGTGGGACGTTTTCAGCTATCGTTTCTTTAATATTTTTTGCCTTTTTCTTTCTCCTCTGCTCCCATTGGTCCTGGATTCCCATGATTCGTATGTTGATACACTTGACGATGTCCCACACGTCTCTGCAGCTCCTTTCTCTTCATCCTTTCTTCTCTGTGTTCCTGACCGGGTAATTTTAATTGGCTTATCTTCAAGTTTGCAGACTCATTCTTTTGCCGTCTCAAATCTGTTCTTGAACTCCTTTGGTTAAATTTCATTGTCGTTGCTGTACTTTCTCTTCTTTTTTTCTTTTTCTCTAAAATCTCCCTCTTCCCCCCCCCCCAACATCTGGGCCTCTCCAAGACAGTTTCTTCCTACTGCTCGCTTGCTTGCTTGCTTTCTCTTTCTTTCTTTCTTTCTCTGCGTATGGGTCACATTTTCTTGTTTCTTTGCATGTCTCTTAGCTTTTTTTTTTTTTTGAAAACTCCACATTTCAGATAACATAGTGCATTTGCATTCTGATTCATTTTAGTCTCCAAGGGTGGTGGTTGTTACAGGTTTTTCTTTTCTTTGTTTCTTTAGTCATTTCGTTGGACTAAATCTGCAGAGTCTCTCTACTTCATGATTTACGGCTTTGTTCATTTTTTTCCTTCTCACTTTTATTTTAAGCCTGCCCTGCTGGGCACCTCTTTGTGTCAGCATTGCTCAGACATCACCAGTGATTAGTCAGAGGCTGCGCTCACACACCTCTGTTAATAAGGCTTCTGCCCTCTGCTGATGGAATTGTGGGGGAGCACCCATAGACTAGTCAGTTGTCACATCTTCCCTGGCCTTTACTGTACTTGTGACCGAAGCTTAATCCCTGCATCCCCTTTGCACGTGCCCAGAGTCACTGTCAGGGAAGGATGTGTGGGGAGCTGTAAGCCCTCTCCAGTCTTGGCTGTACGTGTGCATAGTCTTCCATTCAGCAGAGATGTGCCAGATGTCAAGGCTCTCCGTGGCTGTTAAGTTTCTGGCTAGTCTGCCAGTCTGTTGCTTGCCCCACCCAAAACCTGAATATTAGGATTGCCTGTTCACTGGACTTCTATGTATTTGCTACCTAAATTGTTACTGATATTGACAGTGCTGTTGGTTATGAGGGTTTTTCACACTTTCTTCCAAATTAAGTGAACTTCCTCTTGCAGCAAACTATTGGTTTT